AAAAATTTTTTTAGAACTGTAATAGCAAAGAGAATTTGAAAAATGTTACAAAGGAGAAGAAGTGCTAGAATTTACATATTATAGCATTAAAAAAGGATTACTTTAAAGGTCATAATTCAGCTTTAAAATATTTATTGAACTATGTCACAAATGCACCAATTTTAATATAAGACATCATTATATTGATATTTTTATATAATTTAGTGTTTTTGTAATAAGAATAGATTTTTCATGTAAGAATATAATCTGTATTTTTCTTACAAATTATTTTAATAATAATGTCATTTTAGTAATAATTCAATAATGTCATTTTAATAATAGTACTGTCCACATTATATACATGAATGTGCTTTTTAATGTAGATATCACCAGGAAAGGCAGCAAACCGTACTGCTTCACAATATAACAATAATTACAATGTAACAGACAATTTTCAAGAGATAAAACCTATTTTTAAGAATTATTGGAATTATGTGGCGCGAGATGATGCTACGAAATCCTGTGCAGTGAGCGAAGAGAACTTCTTAGACGATCTTTTAAGTTTTTTTGCTGCTGTAATTTGATTTATTATATAAAAGCATCTGTTATACAAATAAATTTGTATTACGATTAATTTATGTTTTGCAGATTGTAAATAATATTACGGAAATGACATCCTTTACTATGCTTATGCTGGCCACGCATACAGATGTACAAGTTAGTAAAATTATTACAGCATAATAAGCACATTGTATATACAGAAACATATTTACAGCTGCGGGCTGTAAAAAGAAAACAATTTAAGACGATAACAATTTTTCATTTATATTGTATTTTATATTCTAAGATTAGTATTTTAAGATTAGTATATTCTAAGATTAGGAAGAGTAACTTTCTCTCTCTCTTTCTCTCTCTCTCTCTCTATCTCTCTCTATCTATCTATCTTCTAATAATTGGTTGTTTAGCTTATTGTTTAAATTTATTGTTTAACTTTAGCTCTTGAAAAATATTATTTAATTTTTTATATTTTAGATTATGTGTTTTCGTTTTATTTCCTAGGAAAAACTGCGGCAGGAAATATCAGCCACATTCAATAATGATAAGGTTGATGCCCGACGACTCTTTGGCATGCAATATTTTTATATGGTGTTTCAAGAGACTTTAAGATTGTTTCCTATATCACCTGTCATTATGCGTCAACTTACAGGAGATATAGAACTTGGTATTTTTATAACACGTAGTTTATTAAGTCAATAGGCGAAATTAATGTAAATTAATAGATTAATGTAATAATACTTCATTAAGTTACGAAAATGAGCTTTGCCGATTCCAGAATCGTGTACTTTGCCGGAGGGATGTTACATTATGATTCCAATATTTTCTATTCATCGTAATCCTGAGTACTGGCATAAGCCGTTGGAATTTATTCCTGAACGATTTTCGGCCGAAAAGTCATCAAGTCGTTTTCGTTATACATATATTCCGTTTGGTACAGGCCTCAGGGATTGCATGGGTGAATATACTAATATAAACTATTTATTTTGAGAATAATGGAACTTTGGAAATCCTTGTATCTGTCTATCATGTCACGTTACGTATAATTTAATTTTTATTGAAGTTCATGATCTTCATT